GGCAAGAGCAGCCGGCGGTGAAGAAGCAGAGCAAGGCAGATCCGGCTTTTCCAGCAGGGGAGGGAAGATTTCTGGGTTCTAGGTGTGTTCTAGAGCAAGAAGGAAGGAGAAATCTCCAAGCTTTCTCACTAGTTTCTCAAAGGCTAGCTGGGTTCCCACTTTTTTTTGGCTGCAGCGGGAAGAAGAAGAAGAAGAGCAGAATCGGGCTGAGAAGAAAGAGGAAAAGGAGAAAAAGAAATAAGCCATCCTTATCCAAAATCTTTCCCTCTTTAAGCCCCTCAACTTTCAGAATATTCACATTAGGCCCCAAAACAATCTTTTCTCACACAAAAACCCTTACTTAAATGCTAAAATAGCACAAAATTTTGGGGTATTACAATTCCACTAACTTCGTCCTTTAAACTTTTGAAATCCGCCTTCCTAAAAAGAGACAACAAGGTAATTAATATGGTCGAAAATTTGAGAGAAGAATTCGATAAACTTTCTTTACTCTAATGCGATGATTATGATTACATATCAAAGAAAGGGAAAATAAAAACTTCTATGGACAGAGATGAATTAATACCCTGGCTTCTAAACGTTATAACATGCAAGAGATATAACCCCCAAGTTCAAAAGTTATATAACTCTCCTTGTGATATTTTTGGAACTCAAATGACGTATTTCACAATTTAGAAACTTTTATTTTCATAATTACACTTCAACCTCAATCTAAATGCATCCTAGTGCATAGCAAGGTAAAATCAATTCCCTCCCTCTTTACGCATTAATATGAAATGTACCCTATGTGTTTTTTATTTTTTTTTCAATTTTCAAGTAATTCAACATATTTTTAAATGTTAAATGCATACCCTATTTAATATATAAGGTAGCATTTTATACCATGTGTAAATTGAGTCAATTGTTGTAATAGGTTTTAGAATTATTATGTCAGATTGATTTAGAGTTTTTAAGTTTTTTGATTATTAAGTTACCTAACGCTTTATATAAAGGCTACCTATGTACTCATTTTAATGTTACAGAATAACAAAGCATTTTGAATTTCATTTAGTTTTCTTTCTTTCTTTTCCTTGCTTTAAATTCCTACACGAACCTTGAACTTTTGGGAGAGTTGATGTCTAGAGCAGTGGTAGTGTTGATGTTGATAATGAGGTTGACAGACTTCTGAGAAAAATGAATGCCAAATCGGAATTTAACATAAAAGTTGTTAATATATATAACATTCCACTTAAACATAAATTTTATACAAGATTTTAGCCATTCATTGTTCCATCATGTATTGATTAATAGCTTAGATTTATCATAATTTTTTGAAAAATAATAAATACATCCTATAAAGTCACAAATTCCATTAAACACTTCAATAACAGTCAATTATAATAACTAGACCTTCGTTGTCGTGACCTGTCGCTATAGGTTTTGAAGGGTCCTCACTTTATAATGGAAATAAAAAAAGTGTTTCAAGTGGGGGTAATTTTTTTATAATACATGGCATTATGATTTTTGGCTTGAATAATCTTATTGAATTTATCAATCGACCTTATTCAAATTTACAGGACAAATCTCCATCTTTAATTAAGGGTGACAACGATAGCATGTTAAAATTATTTACACCCACTAAATAATAATAATTTAACTTTAATAAAGTATTTTAAGCAATAAAGAGTTTAAATTTTGTATTGAAATTATTTACACCCACCAAATAGTAGTAATTTAGGTTTAAGAGAGTGTCTCAAATAATCAAAAATTAAAACCTTAAAATTGAAAATTTCAAATTTGAATATTGAAATAAGTGGAAAATAACTAAGAAAAATAATTTTTTTTTTTATACATTCAATATACTAAGAAATAATAATAATTTAAACCTATATTTTCAATATAGTTGTCATCACCCTTAATTATCCCTTGAGCTAACCCCAACAAGGTAAGTGGGAGTAATTTTTTGTCAATGTTTGAAGCCTTCAAAGGTAATGAAAGAATTGTATGCTGAAACCTCCCATTTATAGACTTGACAAAAAGAGAATGGATAAATAGCTTTAAGGCAAAACAAGACACAAATATTGACTTATCTCTAGAAAGGATCAAATTCTAATATGATTGATTTTAGTAGGTTAAATACCCTTTTTGGTACCTTTACTATTGATAAAAGCCCCTTTTTTGTCCTTGTACAGGAAAAAATCCTTTTATGGTCCTTAAAATTTAAAATTTGGCCCCTTTTTGGTCCCTCTATTAATTATTTGCCAAGCTGTCACGTTAATTAATGAAATTACTTAATTATTTTTTAAATAATTGATATCATAAATGACGTGAAAATTATAAGAAAAAAATTATAAATTCGAGCAAGCATTTCATCTAAAAATTTTAGACCACGTGTACAAATTAAAAATTTTCCTTTTTAATTATGAATTAAACGAATTTAAACATAATTAACTTTAATTTCTTCATCTTCTTCTTTCTCCACACTCTTATCCCCGTCCTCACCTCACCTTCATCCTCGAGCATCATCATGTGACCGTTTATCTCTATCATCCTCTTCATCATCTTCACCATCCCCTTCACCATGCTCTTCATCATTATGGGTTCCTCGGGGTTCCGCGAGGAACCCAAATCTAGGTTCCTCGAAGAACCTAGCTTTTGGGTTCCTCGTGAAACCCAAGTTTTGGATCCATTACAAAAACTCAAATCATGATTGATATTTGGGCTTGAAACTGCATAAGATAAACTTATGTTGCTATGAACCTCATAACTTGGTGCATTCATGATCTAGATTCAACAGGAATAAAGGGTTAAGAGTCTAATTGTCATGCCCCAGAACCCAAATCTAGGGATGTGGCAGATGCCGTGCACTCGTGAATGGGTCTCACAAATGCACAAGGCTCGGAACTTATTCAAATCACAAAATCCCAAGAATAAAATCTACCTTACAAAAGGATGATAAAATCTAAAACTTATATCTAGTTAGAATGGCTAGCCTTCTACCTCGTCACTCCCCTTGGTTTCCCCGTCCTCAGTTTCGCTTCCTAAAATGGTGGACAAGGAAAAACTATGAGATAACTTAGTAAGTAAATATGGATAGCCCTTGGGTAAAACTTTTAGCATGCCTGATAAACAGTTTAACATGACAAAACGTTCAATGATAAACCGTTAATGCAGAATCAGATTCAGTTCAATAGCAAACCGTTCAATGGCAAACCGTTAATGCAAAAGAAAATTCAGTAGTAGTCTCATCTATAAGTTATGGCCAGTGTTTAATAAACTCCCACTGGCAGGTGTCAGTAATTACTAGTGCTTAACAAACTCCCATTGGCAGGCGTCAGTAATTACCAATGTATTCGCTCATTGGCAAGCGTCAATAGTACCAGCATTTAACAAACTCCCACTGGCAGGCATCAGTAATTACGAATGTATTATCCCATTGGTAGGATTACAGAATGGACCGGTCATATCAGTAAACATGTTGACATGTTCCAGCGTTTGCAAACTCCCACTAGTGGTCGTCAGTAATCATGACTATATCAGAGACAAAACCATGCAAGATTTACAAAAAATTTAGAAATTCACAATCAATCTCAAATTTCAAAAATAAACCAGAAATCTCCATGTGAACATGGATTTAACAGAAAAACTCAGAATTTACAAAATTCTCAGTTCACCATGGCAGTTCAGTCAATTCCAAATAGGCATGCTCTATTCAATGCAAATGAAAACAATTTTATTTCAAACCAATCATGCTCGGTGCTAATAAAATCAATTTAAACTTTGTCACCATCTCAAAAACAATTTAAAACATGCTTTGAAATCGAAGGGCATTACCATAATTTACTTACCTTACTCGCACAGAACAGAAGGCTTAACCCAAGTGCTACGGTGACAGAACGATCAAAACCTAATCACAATATTCCAAAGTTAATACCGCACCACCACAAATTCAAAATGAAATCATCATTAGGACTACCCCTAATCACGATGTTATTTCTATCAGTCTCCACATGATCGGACATCTCCAAATTTGTTCTTTATTACAAACTAAACATTTAAATCCCTGTTAATTGTTGGCCATCAGTGCGTGAACAGTGCCCATGAACAGTACCATGAACAATAATTACGCAGTGAACAGTAATTGCAACTTCCAAAAATTGACAAAACCATAGTAATCTCACGGGATTTTTCTCCAAAATCACAACAACCCAATTCAAGCTAATTTACACTTAAACCAAGCTTAAAAACATAGCTTAAGCTACCAAAATTTCCCCATTTCTCACGGGCAGCACATGGAGAGCATGGCTTTGGCAAACCACAACTCACACACACGGGATTTTCTCTCCAAAACATCACAACAGCCTAATTAACAAAATTCCTACATAAACCAAGCACAAAAACACATTTAAAATGCTGCTAAATTCTTCCCTTGTTTCTGCAGAAATTTTCAGACAGCAAAGGGGGGTAGCAACTAACGGCTTCCTTCCACAATACACAAAAAATTGCAACAATACAGGGCAACAATTAATGGATTAAAAATCCAGACTGGGAGAGCTGCTACCTACTCGAATTTCAGGCCAGCAAATCGGGTCTAGCGAGCTTAGTAGTTGGCGGGAGTTGGAGGTGAAGCTCACGCGGCTACCAAAATTTAAAATAAACCCAAGCTAAATCAAGCTGAAAAGATGAAGTTCATGGCTGTGGCTTACCGGAAAAGCCTAGAAATTCCCACCCAACAAAAACCGACGGACAGGGGAGGAAGAGCAGAGCAGATCCGGGATTTTTTCTAGGTTGAGAGACAGAATTCTAAGCCCCAAATATTGTGGTTGAACAAGAAAGAAGCAGAAATTTCAAGCTTTTGCCGAGTTTCTCAAGGGGAACTATCGGCAACTTGAGGGGGGCTTGTCGGGGAGGAAAAGAAGAAGAGCAGGTCACGGGTCTGATGAGGAAGAAAAGAAAGAAAGAAAGAAAAGGTTAAACCCCTATTTTGGTCCCTGAACTATTGTGCGGACCCCCAATTTGGTCCCTGAACTAAAGAAATTCCTAATTTGGTCCTTGAACTATTGTACGGACCCTGAATTGGTCCCTAAACTATTGTACGGACTCCAAGTTAGTCCCTAAACTATTGTACGGATACCCAATTTGGTCCATACTGTTTACCAATTTAACCCTAACTTGGTCCTTCTGTTAAATAATAACTCAGGGACCAAATTGGGGTGAAATTGTAAACAGTAAGGACCAAATTGGGGGTCCGTACAATAGTTCAAGGACCAACTTAGGCCAAATTATAAACAGTGGGGACCAAATCGGGGGTCCGTACAATAGTTTAAGGACCAAATCAGGGATTTATTTAGTTCAGGGACCAAATCGGGGGTCCATACAATAGTTCAAGGACCAAAATGGGGATTTAACCAAAAAAAAGGAAAGTAGCTTATCCTTATCTCATTTCCTTTCTTTTAAGTCCCTCAACTTTGGAGTTTTTAGCTATTAGGCCCCAAAACAATATTTCTCCCAAAATAAGTCCCCCAACTTAATTGATAAAATTCCCAAAAATTTGGGATATTACACTAATATTTGGGAGGGAGTAAAGAGAATAATTTGTCTTGCAAAGGAGAAGTTAGGGTTTATTAATGAAAATATTCCTATGGATTCTTAATTATGTGTTAACCAATCTCATATGTAAATGGATGATTATGAA